GTGTGTGGAAGAACAAGAGAAGTGGTCAGTTCTCCCTGGGGACACAGTGGGTGCTCCCTCCAGTAGAGGGAGGGAGAAGTTTTCCTGTTTGTGCCCAGAGTGGCCAGCAGGGCACCCTGGGAAGGGCTGGAGGCCCCCTATTTCAAAATAAGCATTTACATCCTCTGCAAGGTGAGGATGGCAGGTCTCCGCACCATTGGAGCCAATATGCTTGCACACAGGCCATGTTCAGGATGTCCTGATATCCCCAGGAGTGGGAGCTGGCCCGGGACTGCAGCCATGCCCCTGTGCTATCTATCATCTATAGATAGATAGAATGTGTGGGGGGAGGGGAGGGGGGGATGTCCCCTGCGTTTTCCCATGCCCCTGTGCTATCTATCATCTATAGATAGATAGAATGTGTGGGGGGAGGGGAGGGGGGGATGTCCCCTGCGTCTATGTAGAGGGGGCTTATGGAGGGAGGGCATTGTGCAGTGTCCCACCCCAGGGTCAGGAGCATGTCATGTGCCCTCATACATACATGCATGTGGATAACAGGCCAAGGCCCATGTGGCAGCCAGCTAGGGCCACGTGCCCAGACAGCACATGCATAGGTTGCTACGTGAGCCATGGCCAGCAAGGCCTATGTGAGCCGTCCCTGGTCTCCCTCCCCTCCTGCCCCTGCATACGGGGACAGAGATGGCACTCATGTTGTTGCCTCCCCAGCCTCAGAGGACACCAGCGACTGGTCTGCTGGGATGGCTCGGGGGCCCTGGCTGCATGGCATGCTCCCTCTGGTCTCCTGGCCCTCCTACTCCTCCTCACTCTGCCCCAGGGTCGATGACCACCTGGGGAGAACATACATGGATAGGAACTGACTTTTAAAAAGTTGACGGCATCCACCCAGGATTTTACACTGTGCACTGTGATACCTTCTTTGAAAGAGCAGAAGAAGACATATTAGAACAAAAACCTATGCTGGGAATCTGGAGCTAGCTATAGAGGTACGGGAATTCCATGTCAACAATATGGCCTTCAGCAGACTCAGATCTGTAGCATTTGGAGGCTACGTCCTTGGCTTTTCAGCTTCCCCCCAAACCTCAATCAGGTCCCTGATCTCTGCACTGGACCAGGCCGGAGCCCACCTTTTCCGGCCCCTGGCAGGCTCCTGGGAGCTGGAAGACTGGTCCTGGGGAGCGGTGGAGGGCTGGCTGCCAGTGGCTTGCTGGCTCATGTTGTGGGGCCACTGGGTCAGGGGCAGTAACTGATGGCTCTGAGCTAGCAGGCTTGGAGATGGCACAGGCACTATGCTCAGAATCTACCCCTTTAAGGACTCCGGAGAAGGGGGGAAGGAGAGGAGTTTTCCTGTTTGTGCCCAGAGTGGCCACCAGGGCACCCTGGGAAGGTCTGGAGGCCCCCTATTTCGAAATAAGCATCTATACAGTGCTTGTTTTGATTTAGCTATTTCGAATTCGGCGTTATTCCTCGTGGAAATAAGCACTCCGCTATTTTTAATTAATTTAGAAATAGCGGTTTGGCTGTGTAGATGCTAGGAAAGGTATTTCAAAATAACAACTGTTATTTTGAATTAACTTTGCTGTGTAGACATATGACTGAGCAATGGAGTGAACCAACAAATCCTTCTACAGATCAGCACACGTCCTGGCGTTTTTTACTCAGTTGGTGTGCTCTGTCTGATGATACTGTACAAGGTGGTGGACTCCTCAAGGTCTGGTCTGGAAAAGTAACCAATAGCAATAGAGTGACTGTGATTTTCATGACAAAGTTGTTACAATTCTGTAAGGGTATGTCTACACTACAGTGCTATTTTGAATTAACTTAATTTGAAATAGTTAATTCGAATTAAGCTATTTCGAAATAACGCAGCTATACACAAAAATTTTGTGAAATAGCATTTTGCTATTTCAAAATAGCACATTCACACTGAGTGAACCGAAGTTAAGGGTGGCCGGAACCAGTGCCGGCAGAGCATCAGGTTAGGACTTAATGTGTGGGGCTGCTGCCTGAGGCTAACTGAGCTCCATGCTTAAAGGAACCCTACCCCCACCCCAGACAGACAGTTCTCAGGTTCCCCACTTGCTTGTCTACCTCAATGAGGGACAGCAAAGCAGTCTCCGCCTCCCCGGCTTTGCTCCGGGTGTCCCTGGTCTGCTGGAGACGGTCCCCAGCAGACCAGGGGCACCCGGAGCAGCTTTTCTCGCCCCGGAGGTCGAGGTGGCGGGACAGCTGCGCTCTGGGCGGTCCCACTGCCTGCGAGCTCTGGGGCGAGAAAGCCCCGTTCGTAAGTGCGGATCCATTATAAGTCGGATCCACATAACTCGGGGACTGCCTGTATTCCTGTCCCTGGTCTGCTGGAGACGGTCCCCAGCAGACCAGGGGCACCCGGAGCAGCTTTTCTCGCCCCGGAGGTCGAGGTGGCGGGACAGCTGCGCTCTGGGCGGTCCCACTGCCTGCGAGCTCTGGGGCGAGAAAGCCCCGTTCGTAAGTGCGGATCCATTATAAGTCGGATCCACATAACTCGGGGACTGCCTGTATTCCTCGTGGACTGAAGTTTACCAATTTTGAAATAAGCCCTCTGCTATTTCAATTTAATTTCAAAATAGCAGTTTGGCTGTGTAGACGCTAGGAAAGTTATTTCGAAATAACAGCTGTTATTTCAAAATAAACTTTGCTGTGTAGACATACCTTTGGGGTCCATCTCACATAGAACCAGCTCGAGCCCCCATCCAGTAGCCTGGGAAATTCACACATCCCTGGGCACCTTTGAGAGGCTATGCTTCCCCACGCACAAGCACAGAGTCTGTGTGTGGAAAATAAACTTTTAATGGAAGAGAGGTCACATGGCATTAGCTTGGGAAAATACCACAAACAGAGTTCATAACCCCCCACGAGTAACCATCCCAGCTCCAAGGTATTGAGCAATGTCCTTTGTCCCTCAGGCTCACCAGTCCAACAATGTAAGGGTTCCATTCACTTACCCAAACTTCCTCCATACCCCACTTCAAATGCCCCACTTACAGCTCTTTTCCAGTCAGTGTGGACCCTGATACATCACCCTGATGACTCCACTCATTGAGCCTGAGGCCATGCCACCTTTGAGCTGCTCCTGTGGTCTGCTTGCTCCGCCTGCCACCATGACTAAACCAGTGACTTCAGCTCTTAGTGATTTCAACTCTTTAGCCACCATCTAGGCTGGCAAGAGAGTCCAGCTTCCACTGGACTAGCAAAAAGACTCCTGATGCAATCTGCTTTAAGTCTATCCTTAGACTAAGGGGGGGGGGAGGCAGGTTGAACCAATCTTACAGCTCACACCTGGCAGGCATGAAGCCAGCTGGCTCAAGCTCTCCCTTTCCCCCACCCCAACTCCATTCACTCAACTCTGGAATGGGGAGGCTTGTTCAACTAAGACTTCTTACAATGATGGTGTCTCTGCTGCAAGCAGCGATGTCATATTTTACAGTTCCCACACTTAGGGGCAGCATGATGACATCCCCACAACAGCCCAAATTAACCCAAATACATTCCATTCTAACAACTGATCCTCCATCAGCCCAGTCTGAATTGGATTTACATAACCACACCTCAGATTCCTTCCCCATCCTGGCATGAGCTGTATTTACATATCAACAGTTAACAGTTAATTATCTTGCAGAGCTAAACAATTGGAGTGAGTACACCCACTCCCAGGGCAGCTCTCTCCTTTTAGCTGGCTGATAGCAAGCAGTAGTTCAGCCCCTGCTTACACAAGACAGCTTATCCAATACACCAAGTATAGCCACGTCTATGATTGTCATTAAGAAAAATGATAAGAATTGATGAATGCAGACATTTATCTAAAAATGACTAGCTTGTTGCATAAACTACACAACTTACAACTGGAACTAGAACTGTTCTAGTCAAATATTTACTGTGGAGTTTGAAATATAAATATGCTGTTATTTAGTTGATAGCCCTAACAGACACAGTATTCTTGTCTCTTCTCTCTAGGTTCAGTAAGCTCCATGGCAGTAGGATATGTGACTATTAACTGGGATCTTGCAGGAGAGCTAGCACTGGGAATCTTCTCTGCGGTGGATGCAGGTTCTTTGTTTCTCATGCATTTTACTGCCAACATCTGGGCATGCTATGCTAGCTATCTAGTTTTCAAGTCATGTTATATGCTCCTCATAACAATAGCAACGTAAGTTTCTACACAACTGGGAATGTTTCAAGGAATTCAGCAAGTGGTTATGTTATGTCATCTCTGTTTCAGCTGGTTAGGGACATCTGGTAGATATTTGTTGTTGTAAGCTACATTTGAGATATAACTGTGCCACAGATTGGGGTTAAGAGCTACTGAATTACCCTACAGCTATAGCTAGGTATACTTACACTGTGCTGTTAGGTTAATTATTAATGCTTTTTAAAAGGACAGACTGATTATAAACCCTCAATTGTTTTTAAAAGAAGAGTTCTTGAATTCAAATGGATTGTGCTTAGAAAACATTTCAAAATTATAAATTGACCCAATCTGAGGTTTTTGTTCTTCCTCCCAGATTAGTTTATGACATTTTTCAATATTGAGTTTTCATCTCAATTTGTAGGACAGGAAATATTTTCAAGATCTCAGAGCTTCTCTCAAAATAGGAAAACCATTTCACACCCATCTCTCACACATTCTCGAACAAGTATGACAAATCTCACTCAGTTCAATCCAGCTTCATCTATTAAAAGTGCTTTTTATGACTACAGGGCAATAGAGTTTTGTTCATACATATTTGGGGAGGATATTTTCTTCATGCAAATTCAGCTGCTGAGGCATGAATGGGTGCAACCATGCACACACAGATACTTTCCAAGCCACCCATGATTATTAATCCATCTGGATGGATGTCAGGACAAATTCAGCTGGAGCAGTCTAGAACAGGCCTCCAGTAAATATTTTAAACTGCCCTGGAGTTTCTAGCTTATTTCTTTCTGTCTTCCTTAGTCAAGAAGGAATTCAGCTGTTTTTAAATCTAAAGTCCATGTATATGGCCAAGCCTAATGTTTCCTGTCCAATTTGTGCAAGAATGAGCATTAGATGTCCCATGAGTTCCTAGAACACATAATTCTCCCCTCAGAGAGATTTGACAAATTGTTTTTTTATGACATATTCCTGTTTTTTTATAAATATTCTGTCACGCATCATCTGACTTAATGGACCAGTCTCACAACCCACAATCTCAATGCTGTATATTGAGTATTCAACCTAAATTATTTCCAAAAAATCATAGGCCCAAATATTAAATAGTAGTAGTGCCAGCAAAACAGGCCTCCCATTTTGCTGGATGCTATACAGCCTATAGCCCACTGGGATTCCACTTGCAGCCCTGTGGCCCCTCTGTTTGCCCCCACCCCCACATGCCTCGTGCATTGGGGAACTGGAGCTCTGCACTTACTTGCTTCCCCCCAGCACCTTCAGAGCCTGCGAATCACCTCATTTGTGCTCCATCCCCATTCCTTGCCCTCCTTCTCTCCTTCCCAGAGCTGGAACACTACAAACAGCTGACTCGTGGCATTCCAGCTCTGGGAGGTAGGGGGAGGAATAGGCCAGGAGTGACCCTTCTTAAAATGCTGGGATGGAGGAGAAGCAGAAAGTACAGGGTTCCAACATCCCCCAGTGCATGTGAGGGTGGGGGCAGCCAGGGGTTCCATGGGCCACAGGTTGCCCATCACTACTGTACAGTCTTAAAAAGCAAGAGTCTTAAATAATATATGTTCAGAATGGCAAACTACAAACAAATTCGCCATCAGGAGTTGGTCCAATAACCCATGTTACTTCACCTACCTGGTTTCTCTCACTCCTTTGTTTTTTCTAGGACAGTGCAGCTACAACACTTCAGAAAGCTAATAAATATCTTATTTCCAATTAAAAAAAACCCACACAACATATTATGTATTGCAAGAATTTCAAGCAAACTTTTTGAGAACACCTTAAAAAAAAAAAAAGAATTTTACCAAGATTTAAATAAACGCAAAGAAAAACAGTTGGAAGGGAAAGAAAAACCTTACCGGAATTCAGCAGAGAAGAATTAATCCTCAAACTCCAAACCAGCAGGAGAAACTCTGTTCCTAAGAGAATCTGTTAGATCCCAAAGGGCTTATTTGAACCAAGAATGGGAAGGATAGTCCACAAGTTTGAGTGCTAGCCTGGGACCGGGGAGACGCAGGTTTAATTCCCTATGCCGTCAGAGGCATATTTCCTTTGTGCCTCAGCTCTCCGTATGCAAAGTGGGGATTACAGAGAACACCCTAATCCTAAAGCAGGAGTGGGCAAATACCAGCAGGCAGGCTGGATCCAATCTGCCAGGATTAGCCCCTAGGCAGCGGCTCCCCCCCCTCCCCATCATATTTACCTATGCCTCCACAGGTACAGCGCATCACAGCTCCTGCTGGCTGTGGATGCCATTCCCTGCCAATTGGAGCTGCAGTCACCTATACCTGCAGAGGTACAGGTAAATATAGTGGCAGCAGCCCACCAGGGGCTAACCCTGGTGAACTGCTGCCGTTTTATTGCCCTCCCGTGTTCTAGAGGATAGAAGGTGAAACTTCTAACAGATTATACTAATGTGGGGGGTGAGGTGCTTGTAAGGACAGAGATAGAAAACTAATATGTTCAAATACATCTTGCCTTATCTACACGGGGTGTGAGGGATTGTTTAAATGTTACTAACACTATTATTCAGACACCTTTTATCCTAGCCTAGACATACTGTTCTACATGTGAATCATCTTCCTTTCCCAAGTTAAAGGGAAGGGAATAGATTCATGTTCTCTGCATTTCAACTAACAAACCATTTAATTTTAGGTTTCAGATTGCTGTCAATCTAAGCATGGAACGCTACGCTTTAATGTTTGGACTCAATAATTTTGTTGCACTGGTGATTCAGACTATTTTAACCGTAGTCATAGTTGATTCAGGAGGTCTGGGATTGAAGGTAGACATCCAGGTAAATAGTATTCATTTATTTCACATTTACTGTTTAAAGTTAGTATCTCATGTACCTTAAATCTGTAAAAGGAATCCTTTGAAGTCATAATTTCTATTTTAAGCAATCAACTCAGTTTTTCTTATCCTTTCCTTTGCATAGACAGCACTATTGTAACTTGGTCAGGAGGTTTGAAAGTTTTTACATGAAGCGCATAAATTAGCCCCTCACCCGTAGACGACCAGATCCACACTCTAGGATCACATTCTACTGATCCTTTGTTTTTTGCAGACCAATGCACGACTGAGCAGGTAATGTTGGGCTGCTGCCAACTTCGTCTAAGTGAATACAACTAAACTACCTACCCCCAACCCTGCTGAGAAATTAACATATCTCTAGCCACCATGTAACACACGAGGTAGCCTGGACTAAGCACAGAACTAAAGTCAAGAGGTTCCTGCAGTCTCACTCCATCTCAGAAGCCGATTTATTTTGTAACTTAATTCAGATAACTGTACCTTTCTGCCTTAGTTTTCCCATGTGTAAACTGAGGCATAATAGCTACTTGTCTCAGGTATATTCAGTGCTCCCAGTCTTGCTCCCATAAATGTCAGCTGAAATTTTGTCTGAGTTCAATTGCAGCAGGATATGGCCAAAACCTTTGTAAGTTATTTTTCCCTCTTTGGAATCATCATGATACTTTCCAGTTGACTAAAGAGAAGTGGAAAGGAACCATCAGCAACTTGGCTGGAAAAGGAGAAAAGGGACAGAACCATTAAGGTACTATAATAGGAAAGTAAAGAGAGGGTGGAACTGACACAAACACATTTTGAGTAGCTGACAAAGAGGGCAAGACATGGAGAGGGGACCCCACTTTGAATCTCTGCTGGATGGCGGAGCCAGTTTGATAATTGCTATATCCTTGCAGCTCTCAGCCATTCTGCACACGGTAGGAATACTATGAGTCCTGTGGCACCTTAGGGTGCACCTAAGTAGGAATACTATGAGGAGTCCTGTGGCACCTTAGGGTGCACCTACACTGCACTGTTATTTCAAGGTAACTAGCATTATTTCGAAACAAGACGCATGTCTACACAGCCATTCCGGTATTTCAAAATAATTTCCAAATAATGGACGGCTTATTCTGAAATCTGTAAATCTCATTCTACGAGGACCACCACCTATTCTGAAATAGCTATTTCAAAACAAGACTCGTGTAGACGCTCCACTGCTGCTCTTTCAAAATAGCCCCTCAACCAGGGCCATTCTAAGTTATTCCTCCCCAGGGCTTCCTGGGGCTCTAAATCAAGATACTTGAGGGAAGCCTCAAAATTAATCCGAGGCAGGCTTCCCTAATGCAGATGCGCTATTTCGAAATAAGCTATTTCGGAATAACTATTCCAGAATATGTTATTTTGAAATAAATGTGCAGTGTAGACGTACCCTGAGAAACTAACAGAGGGTATGTCTACACTACCCCGCTAGTTCGAACTAGCGGAGTAATGTAGGCATACCGCACTTGCAAATGAAGCCCGGGATTTAAATTTCCCGGGCTTCATTTGCATAAGCGGGAGCCGCCATTTTTAAAACCCCACTGGTTCGAACCCCGTGCAGCGCAGCTACACGGGGCTCGAACTAGGTAGTTCGGACTAGGCTTCCTATTCCGAACTACCGGTACACCTCATTCCACTAGTCCGAACTACCTAACCAGCGGGGTTTTAAAAATGGCGGCTCCCCGCTTATGCAAATGAAGCCCAGGAAATTCAAATCCCAGGCTTCATTTGCAAGTGCGGTATGCCTACATTACCCCGCTAGTTCGAACTAGGAGGGTAGTGTAGACATACCCAGATTTATTAGCGCATAAACGTTCATAGGTAAAACTCACTTCAGATGAATTGGAGTGGAAGTTACAAAGACAGGACTCTAACTACTAGTATAACAAAAGAATGGAGTTACTTATCAAGTGTAGGAGCAGTATTAACAAGGCCAATTCAGTCAGGTGGACGTGGCTCACTCCCAGCAGTTGATGGGAGGTGTGAATACCAAGAGGGGGAAAACTGCCTATGTAGCATGATAACCATTTTAAATCCTCATTCAGTCCTAATTAGATTGTATTAAATTTGCAAATCAATTATTCTGCTGTTTCTCTTATATTCCTGCCTCTGTAATTTTGACTAATTAATCTGTTGAAGTGAGTTTTACCCACAAAAGCTTATGCCCTAACAAATCTGCTAGTCTCAGGTGCCACAGGACTTCTGGTGGTTTGTGTAGATACAGACTAATATGGCTACTCCTCTGAGACTTGTCAGTGGGAATACTGATTCCATCCAACAGCACAGAATACTTCTGTATGTAGAGTATAAAACTATTTGAGTTGGTGTCTTTGTGCCTTAGTTCTCCATATGCAAAAATGGGGATTATAGTGGATACCCTGATCCTAGAGAATGAAAGGTGAAACCTCTCCTAAGAGATTATGGTCATGTGTGGGGGAGGGGCATGTAAGGACAAAGATACTTAGCCTCCTACAAAGAGTGCCATGGGATCTTTCATGACCAGCAACGGCCAGAAACTAGGCGCTCACTCTCTCTCATATCAAAAGAGTGATTTAGCAACAATTCTATAAGCTTAATCCCCAGAGGGTGTAAATTGTCAGAGGTCCACTGAAGTCAATGAAGCTCTGACCATTCACACCAATTGACCCTAGATGTGGCAGGTTTAAGAAATGCCACTCTGGAATTTGCATGCCTATCAGACTTATGCTTTCATGATGCGAACTGTAAAAATAATATGCATTGACAATACAAAGGAAAAGACTTAAGCAAACAAATGTTCACCATATGGGTACTCTAAGTCATCAGATATTTCAGTAAGACAAAAGAGTCCATGGAAAACTCACTTTTGAATATGGAAAACAAAAACATCTTCTGTTAGTTTCAATCTTTACCAAATTTATAGGTGAATGTAGAGTTCCCTCGGTGACATCTCAGAGAGAAATTCCACAATGCTGTTGCTGGCCCTTTGGGCTCCAAGAACACCAAAAAGGTGTTCAGATACACCATTCAGCAGAGGTGTGCCTTCTGAGTTTAGATATACTGTTCCATAACTTTATAGATCTCTTGGCTGGTTAGCACAAGTAGGCAGAGTTCCTGGACTGATGATTGGCACACTACTGATGCCCTCATCCCCTTCATATTCCCCCAGCATGGAGCACCTCTCTCTTGGATTATCCTCTTAGGGTTACATCTGCACAATAACTTGGCTATACTATTTACCTGCCAGATGGTTTTAGTAGCAAAGTTATGTTAATGTCTGACAAAACTGATAGAGAAAGGATTATGGTTAACGGGGAGAGAACTCAAAATATTGTTCAAAATGGTAAAGACCCCTAGGTGGTTTCTTTTCACAGATGCTGAATTAAAGCCCCTACAACAGAGGCACAATAGCAGGCTTATGATAGAATCAGCCATTTTCGAAATTCAACTGGTATCTCTCAGGTATTACTTGACAGTAATTTCTGTTGCTTTTAGTAAATGCTCAGAGCTTTACATTTTTCACAATATTAAAAATATTCCTTCCTCCCCATTCACTGTGAATGGCAAAAAGTTGCTTCCTGACGTGTTAAATTTTGATCCGTGCTACAGTGAAGGTAACAAATGTGCTAAGACAGTACATCTTGAGATCCTGAGATGAAGACAAATTTACAGTACATCTTAGCCTACATACTTATCAGAGGAATGATCATCATTTCTGGATAATCAGTTTATCAGCATAATTGATAAATGTTTGATATGTACGATGTATTTCAGTTAACAGTTTCAGCATCTGAAGTTTGTATGAACAAGGTAGAACTGTAGTATTTTCCAAGATGCAATAAGCCTTATACCAGAAGAAGATAGAATATCATTGATATTGTGCAAACAGATCTTGTGTTCTCAGTCCTGGACCATATTGATATAGTCCTGCTTTCAGAATAAACTAACGTCTCCGAAGGCTGCTCTCTCTTACAATGGTTGCCTATATACCCCAAGGAGCCATTGCAGTAGCTGGTCATTGAGAACCTAAAGAATTATTTGACCACGCCTCCTTTCCTGATCATAGTCTTATGATGTGGGCCAGGAGGGGCAAGGGGCTGGTGTAAGAGCCAGTATGACACTTCTGCATCTCACACAGATCCTCTGGTATCTGATAAGCCATCTAGATGAAATTTGTGCTTGCAGAAATTTAGCGATGGCATGAATGAACAAATGTATAGAATCTCTATACTTACTAGTTCAGAAAGGGGTGGGTATTTCTCCAGAACAGTATGTGTGTTTCACCAATTCTTCTGCATTCTTTTTTTCCTCCCCTCCCCCCAGTTCCTAATTTATGGAGGTTACTTTGCAATCATAGCTGGAATTTTCTTCATCAGAAGCATTTACACAATTGCCTCAATCCAATGCAAAAAAGAAACACAGAATTTCTCCAGTGAACATCAGAACAATAAGGAACAAGCATCAGAAACCAGATTATAACCAGCTATGCTAACATCTGTACCTCTAACTTGTCAAAAATGCCCGCTTGCAAAACTCGTACTGACGTCAATGCAAGATTGCGGTAAGGGGAGCAGCATTTAGTCCTTCATGTATGTCCATGCTAAAAATCACAACAAACTTTCTTTAACCGAAAGAATTGCCTAACAGTTTAATACCAGATATGTTGCCAGCTCTCTTGACCTTATCACAGGTATTGTGGTTTTTTTTTTTTTTTTTTTAAATCAAACACCTCACCACACTAGCTTCTGGAATCAAGATACAGAAGGAGACACTCCTGGAGTCATGTGAATGTGTGAAAAATCTCAGTTTTTATTTTGAAAAAAGAGCCATTTTCTGGTTACCTAGGAAAGCTTGACCACTTGAAATGACTGTGCCCTACAGGCTCAGAAACGGGAAACCAATGAAAATGTAATTTTTTTTAAAAAAAGTCATGATTTTAAAACTAATCGTGATTTCAAAAAAAAAAAAGTCATGATTTTAAAACTAATCGTGATTTCTGAACACCTGACATGATTTTTGCATGCTTGAGATGGGCAATACTGGTGCAAATCAAAATTGTACCATTGATCTGAACTGATTTATACTAAGTTATATCTTTCGGAGGAACTGACCTTTTGCCAATAAAGGAAGACTGATTTTATTGGATATGAATTTATTTACACAATAGTATAACTATCGTGCTCTACACGAAAAATGCTAGTTTTCCCTCGCTCAGTTAGGCTTTTGAAAAAATTGTACATGTGCTGCTTCCCATTCCAAAAGCCATTCTATTTGGTAATTAGAGTAGCAAAAACTAAGTGAGAAGAGGGTTTTGCTCATACCTTTGATCAAGGTAGACCCAGGCAGCTTCTACCTACGTATGCTCTATCCTGCTGTACCTTAAAAGAACTACTGCATCTGCACTTTATAACATTTCATCTTAGTTGTGTACCTGTAATGCTGTTTCCTCCCCTCCACTTTTATGATCACTCTTGAAAACTGGACCTTTCACTCCTGGGCTACGTCTAGACTGGCATGATTTTCCGCAAATGCTTTTAACGGAAAAGTTTTCCGTTAAAAGCATTTTCAGAACAGAGTGTCTAGATTGGCACAGACGCTTTTCAGGAAAAGCACTTTTTGCGGAAAAGCGTCCGTGCCAATCTAGACGCGCTTTTCCACAAAAAAGCCCCGATCGCCATTTTCACGATCGGGGCTAAATGAGGGGAGAAATTCAGAAAGCACAGATCTGCCTCACAGATGTCCAGTCTCACATTATACTTTTTTTTCCCCCCATAACAAACTTTTGTTGAACTTTCCAAGTATTTCTCAAAGCCAGACTATCAATAAAAGAAAATTATAAATATTTCATATTTACATAAGAGTTTCTCCACTCAAAGCAATTGTACAGATATTACTTACCTAGCCCTACCAATGGCTATATGAAGCACGCGGGTAAGTATTATCCTCTTTTCACCCAAATATATGACTAGACAAAGAAGAAGGAAAGATGTGAATGAACTGGAAAAGTTCCAGAGGAGAGCAACAAAAATAAGTAAGTCTAAAAACTTGAGCTGCAAGGACAGATTGAAAATAAATGGGTTTGTTTAGCCTGGAGAAGAGAAAACTGAGGTGGCACACAATTACAGGTTTCAAATATGTAAGAGGTTATTACAAAGAGAGGAGCGAAAAAATGCTCTTGTTCATCTCAATGAGTAGGACAAGAAACAATGGGCTCAAATCGCAGCAAAAGAAATTTACGGTTGACATTAGGAAAAACCATGCTACAGCCCCATTTTTTACTCCACAGTAAAAGCAATAAGGGTTTTTGGTTTTTTTTTTTTTTGTTTGTTTTTTAAAATGGAGAATTGTCTGTCGCCCATTCTTACCAGCAAGGTATCAGGCTCAAAAAAAGTCATCTTCCCTTTATTCTACAAACATGATCGCTAAATAAATCAGTTTGGGTTGTCTTAAGAGAAATGAATATATAAATATTTAATTCAAAATTTTATTTCTGAAAAAGTGACCTTTTGTATAAACTTACAATTGCTACCTATACAGTAGTTCAGAAATACTATAAACTGGTATTTTAACATTGTACTAAAATAGATATATTATTCTTACTTGATAGCCTGGAGGGTCTGACTGCCACAATGTTCTTATATCTTGTTAGAGTTGCAGCAACAAGCAGCTCTTCAGCCATAGCAGTGGGATAGATGAAAATGAACAGGGACTTTTCAGGAGACCCAACACTAGAATTAGCCTATTGCGTGGGTGCTCACTCTTTATTTCTCATATTTTGCTGCCAACATCTAGACATGTTAGGCTAGCTACGTAATTTTCAAATCATGTTACATGACTTTCATAAAAATAGCAACTTAAATAAAAACCACAACAGTGCAGATTCAAATAATAATTAGTAGTTTGACATTAGTTATTTTATACTTTTTAAAGAAGAGGAATGCATTAGAAACAGTTTGGAGTTCCACTTAAAGTTTGTTTTGGGGGGAGGGAGAGACAACAAATATTGCACTGTTTTTACCTGAACAAGTTGTGACAAGAGCAAGACATTTAGCTGATTAGACTAGATGAACAGGATAACCAGTGAAATACAATTTCATTAGTTTTTAAAAACTGGTAACTTCCTTACACTGTATTAATTCTCCCACAATCGCAGATGTGCATAACTGCTCCACTCAATGACAGTGAACATACCTAAGCCTGTGATCATCTTCTTTCAGGCCCAGAAAAATCCCCAAACACTCAAAGTAAAGTTAAAAAAAATCTAACTAATCACGTTCATAAATTAAAACAAGTCGTACAACAAAACGAGCCTCCAGTACTAAAAGGGAATTTTTTTTTTTTTTAGTAAGTGCATGAGAAAACATTGAAACTCAGCAGAGCTAAAAAGGACATCACTGACAAATATAGAATGTAAAAAGTGACTGGAAAAAAAGTAATTTTAAATTCCTTCTGTGCATGAATCACACCAAGTCATCTTTCTCTCCCTCGCCAAAAAGGAAAGCTACTACATGCAAGTCCTATGGAGTTTAACTCACCTACTAGTTTAAAATTAGATTTCAGACTGCTGTCAGTTTACAGTATGAAACACTTTGATAAGGTTGTTGAATCCAAACACAAAAGCATACAAGTGATTCAGACCACTAACCGTTGTAATGGATTCCAAAGGTCTGAGATTGGATATTATTTGCATTGCACCCAGTTCTGTTGATAAGCATTTTCTTCCTTCTCAAATGGAAATCCTCTGAAAATAGTTACATTTTAAATTTAGCTTTTCCAAAGACTAAATTAGTAGCTAGCTGAAATGGACAGCATTAACTTGAAAAAAGGCTGATTTCAGGTGAGACTGTGGCATTCCCCTACTTGTTTTGTGTACTCGCTTTGTGAAAAATAAAAAAGTCTCTCCCATTTCTGTGTAAAAAACAAAAACAAAAAACACAAAACACGCTAGCCCTGCCATCCTTTCCTCGCACAGAAAAAACTATTAATTGGTCAATATTAAAAAACTAACTAGCCACAGAAAGCGCTATCAAATGCATAAAAATTCAGCATACATTTAACATTTGTTAAGCAAATTTCATCCCAAAGTGATTTACAAACATGCCAATAAAGAGGTGGCAAAACAGCCATACTTCATCCTTGCAGCAAAACAAAGCAACTAGGTAACAAGATAGAGCAAGAACAACAGAAATCTTCTGCAACCTTAACATATGGGACGTGTTAGTTTTTTGTTTTTTATTTCATCAACAAGATAAATCTGTAAGAGTACTAGTTTTCTTTTTATTCAGGTTTGTGAAGGCAAAGAATGGCATTTCTGGAACCTACATATATGGATTAATGTTTTCAAGATGACAATTATAGATCTCACTATCTCTCATGAAAAGACTTGAACAAACAAGGACTCTTTGGGTGCCTAAATTCATGAGATTTCTGTAACAATAAAAAAGGGGTCTCATTTTCAACCTTTACACTGTTCAGAAGAAATTTCATGGGTACAGTCCATTACATCTCAGACTGAGCAATTCACAAAGCTATCCTGAAAAGATCCTCACTTCTGCTAGCCAAGTGAGCTTCATGAATCTCTGTTCTTACAACACAGCCACTTATCTTAACATTCACTTTTGACTGCTTAGTCCAGAATGTGTCCATATGAGATGCTCACAATTTGAGCAACTAAAAACAAGTTATTTGGGGCTCCTCTAGCTATTCAAGTGTCTTTTCATTAGTTAGTATTAGCTTTCTTCAGATGACTCAAGTTCATGGTAAAAGTCTATATTTGTTAGTAAAAGGTGCCACAGTACTTCTCATTTTTAAAGCTACAGATTAACACAACTTCCCCTCAGACTTTTCATTAGGGGTCTAGCAGTCAGGCCAAAGAGCTGCACACCCAGGGAATATGGGCCTGCTGAGCGAAGAGGTGAGGAGGAGCTAAGGTCAAGAAAGGCCCTGTTTAGCCAGGCAATGGCTCCTGGATGAAGGGATTCTGTTGTGGTGAAGGACTGGAGGGACTGGAGATACTGGCTACTTACAGGACAAACCCTGATCCCCTTGAGCAAGTCTCCTTTGTGTGTGTTTGGAGAGAACGTACAGACAACCATGATGATCCCAACAGGTGGCTAAAATGCAGCCTGGTTCATAGCCACTTCCACTCCTGGTTCAAGACTGTTCTGGGAGCTCCACTATGCAAGCCCACACTCTGTGCACACATTTGGTAGAGTAGGGAACTAGCCTTCACTCAATTCGCCAGAAGTACCTGCAAACCCCGTTGACCCTCCCATTTTCTGGGAAAGCAGAGACAACCAGAGCTGCTTGAGGAGACAGGCAGAGCTCTTTGTCTTGCATCCCTCAGGAGCAGAAGGCTGTTAGATAGGAAACGAGAGGATTGCAGTAAACATTTTCAGAGGTGTACGAAGAACCCTGAAGCTCTGATCTCTCCTCCCTTTGTGAAAAATGGGTTTGTTCCTGCCCCTTCCCAGGGAAGGGATCCCTGTGGCTTCATGTCCATGTACTCTCTCCCCTCATTCTCCAAGGGCAAGGGAGAAAGGGGTGTAGCTATTTTGCACTGTTAGCTGGGACTTTTCTGAGAAGAAACTTATACCTTTATCTCCACCCAAATGCAGAAAAAACACAGAGCTCTTCCAAAGTTCTCAGGAGCATTCAGAAACACAGATCAGTAAACAGGTAGCAACCAGCAATGCAACATTCCTGTAGCTTATACACCTTGATACTGTTTTGCAGACATGCTTCACTGAAGTGCAAGGAACGAGGAAGAAGCTCATCTCTGACTGACTAGTCTGTTACTCCAGCGTGAGACTAGTTATGCATATTCTAGAGTATTAATGTGACTTTAATAACTATTACAGGTATAAGCTTCACTTTCAAATAGGCCTCTCCAAATGCAGTACTGAGAAACAAACA